CAATCTGAAGATGTCAATTAGTAGGTCTCCAACTTCTACCCAATTTAGCTATAAAACAGCAGTTCTCACGATCCCCTCCTTAGGTTCAATTAATTTGCTAGAGCAGTTCACAGAACTCAGGGAAATGTTTACTTACGTTTATCAGTTCACTGTAACCCAGTGTATATGGGAAGGATACAGATGAACAGCCAGATGAAGAGAGACACAGGGTGAGGTCTGGGCAGGTTTTGAGTACAGGAGTCCCCTCCCCATGCAGTTGTGATGCTTTACCCACTCGGTGTGGATTTGTGTGCCAACCTGGAATCTCTCTGAACCCTGTATTATGGAATTTTATGGAGGCTTCCTCAAGTAGGCACGATTAATGATTAACTCTGCTTTCTATTCTCTGATGAGTGCCTGATGGGCACTCTAACCATTCACCGGCTGTGGTGGGGTGTTCTGAGCTGGTCCGAGGAGTGAAGTGCCCTTACAAACAGGTAAAAGGGTTTAACAATAAATATATTAAGAAGGTGAGGATTCACATCACTCTAAAAACAGCATCAAATTGAAATGCACACATACAGTAGTCAGTCTTGCCTGAAATGTCTACATGAGACCAATTCACACTTAGAAACATAGTCTTGACCCCTCAATACATGGGAAGGAAGGAGGAGCCATAGCACCCCTGGCCCTTTGAAGCCCAGATGCCTAGGACCTGTGCAGGTGGAACCAAATCTAGATATAAGAGAAGAAGGCTGCAAGGTTGTGTCTGTGAACCCGGACAACCTCTTGTGTGTAACATGCAAAATTGTCTTTTGTTGAAATAATATAATGCAGTATTTCCTAAATCTTGTTAAATATCTGTGAACCCTGAGAAAGAAGATACCTACTAAGTGTTAGGGTTGCCAAAGGAGGAAGGCATGAGGCCAAAAGGAGTAAAGGATTATGAATTTATTAGGTCATCTGGAAACCCAGATGGGCTGAGCCCCAAAATGGTGCCAGCACCCCCCGGACGGTGAGTCAGAGATTTTAAAGGACTCTAGGTGGGCTTTTTCTGGGCAGAGAATTCTCTGGGCGGGTCCTGAGGGGAAAGATAATGGTCTTAGCAAGTGAATGTAGTCTGAGCAAGTGCTAAGCAAAAGGGAATGTCTGATGTGACGTGGTCTAAAGGTCAGTTCCCAGGGGTGGGGGTGTCCATTCAATTTTCGAACAGACCTAACACTAAGAAGGGCTCCTGGTGGTGACCTGGGATCAAATGAAAAAACAACAACAGTCTAGCAGTCATTTCTATACCCACAACAGCAAGACACTAATCCTGGAGTCTTGATGGCTGCAGGCCAGGCATCCACGCCTTAGGAAGGCCTGTCTTCTTCCTACACCCTTTAAAGAAGAAACCCTCCTGCCCCTTCCCTCCCTGGAGGCTTCTTAGCAGGAGACTGTTTCCATCTTTGTAAACAGCCCCAAAAGCGAGGCTTCCCCAAAGGGCTTTGGGGGAGGGGGGACATTCCCTGCAAAAAGCCCGGGGACGGCCTGCGCGCTCAGGAAACGGTCTTTCACAGGGTGACTCCCGCCTGGAGCAGGTCCCTGACCCCACACCTCCCACCGCAAGACCCCGCGCTGC